TTTGATGATCATTTTCATGAACATAATGTTTTAAGGATATTTTCTTCAGAGCATTTTAACTATGATTATGAGTTTCAAATAATTGCATATATGACAAGAATAGCAACAACATTATTTTTCCGATACTTACAGGACATAGTCAATGCAGACAAGATAATATAGCTGCACTGTACACACAAACAGTTATTTTATTTTTTTCTATTTACTAGTTTTCTACTTATATGAATGATCACTCTCAAATAGGATGTATTACTGTTTACAGTATTTTTCGTTATTGCAAAAATAAACGAATGAATATGGACACTTAATGCACTTTTTCGTTTTTGACTCTTCTTCACCAACCTTCTGCATCTTATCTATTTTTCTTTCCATTGCTTCATTCATAACAGCATCATTCAGCAAGAGCCACTTTGGTTTGGCCGAGCAGGAATAAAATGCGCAAATCAGCAAGACAAAAAATACAGCTTTTGAAAGAGGTCTCATACTTTTCACCAGCAAAAGATAATCAGTACTCCAAAATTCTTCTCAGTCGACAAGCTTTAATAATGGAATTTATCTTGAAGTTTAGGTCTATTTATACAAGCTGAAGAAATAAATTATTAAATATTTCAAAACAGATGGTTCATTAAATACTATCCACGCAGCGGTACCACATGAGGACACTTTTGAAAGACGCTATATTTAAATAACGCTAATAGTCAAATAAACAACTTACATATTTCATACATGCAAGGGTTAGCAATTCTTGCTTTTATAAAATATATTTTTAATAAAATATTTAAATTTAATATTCCAACTACATTCAAACCAATGTATAAAATGTAGTTTGTATGAGACAATATAAGCCTGGTAACAACATTTATGTATGATTGTTTCCATAAAGTGCGTTTGTCGTGGTGATTAACAAGTATTGCCTATAGTTCCTCTATGAACTGTTATAACACACATTTAAGACACTTGACATTTTATGAAAAAACTCAGCGTATCCTGTTTTTAAAAGGATTTGGACTACAAATTGTTGCAGTTTTTTAATGGATAATCTCATTCTTTGTCAAACAATTTAATTGAGAAGGCATCGAAAAAGAATATTTCTGATGTTGCACAATATAAAGTCGTACTCTAGTTGACTGTTAGGAAGTTTTAAACCCTTTGGGAAACGTAGGAAAAAGTATATTCTAGAAGCATATATGTATAAAACAGATAATAGATTCAGCAAAGTAATTATTCAATTTTGAAAGTGACTTGGGTTTCAAAAGAATTCAGTTGAGCACAACCGATTGTTTGAATATACACTGATCCTCCAATTGATAATCTAGTTACGCCTTTGATCACGTCTTAAAAAACTAAACAGCCACTTCATCAAAAGGTATTAAGAGAGAATGTTTCATTTACAGATAATAAAGTCCCAAATTATTTTACACTTTTTCAAGACATTTTGTGTGATTACCTGCTTCAAATGAGCAAATATAAAATTCAACTATAAACATCTTCCCAGGAAATTATCGACTATTTTAAACAACAGAGTCTTTTAAAACTTTGAACATGACTCAAGATCGTCGCTTGTACATTATAATAGGTAGTGGTCGATTAACTTAATTTGAACTAATTTAGAAGTTAGAACTGGTTATCACGTATATAATAAAATATCTTTTAACGTAAAAATAATTAAAGATGCACGTACAATCATTGAGTAACTATACGAACGTGCCTCATTAGGGCATTCGAAATAAAGTGAAGTGAACTTGTTTACATCTCAATACTTTTTCCCCAAAAATTATAAAATGTAAAAACCTCTTAGTTGGATTATAATACAAATTTCTGATTTATTAGATGTTGGTTGAGAAAATAAGAATTCTGAAGCATTTAAACAATACATTAAAGAAAATGAGGAAACAGTTGCGTTATCAATAGGTGCTGGCATCGGATACGTGTGGAAGGACCCGTAACCGTAACGAAAAAGTCGCGTTTTCAAATAAAAATGTAAACGTGTGGACGGGGCTTAAATACTTCACAACAAAAACTTATTTGAGCAATTTCTTTATGCTCTGTGAAAACAAATAATTTAGCCTTCTGTTAAAATTACTACTAAAATAACTTATGACGCTTAAGCTTTATTGATTCAAGTGCTTTTGTATTTTGCATAATATGCTTTACAACAAAGCACAAGCAATAATTAAGCTTAGCAATTCATTTATTCACTTAAGTCATATGTAATGAACATAAAGATCGAAGACTTTCTGCAACAGACTACATTAACTTCTACTGGGCTGTTTACAAAGGTCCTTTCTTCTCCCTATACGTTGTCTTTCACGTGACACTTCTCTTTGAACATGTGTTTTTTTTTAGGAGGGTGGGGAAGAGCGTTTAGATGGATTTTCAGCTGTGTGCTAAAAACTTTTACGATTCATTGAACATTTTTACTATCAACGTTTTATTTTATTTTGTTAGTCATTTAACAAATCATGTGGTTAGACACATTTAAACAAATGTGCTCGGTTATAATAACGTTAATAATCTTTAAGATGTATTACTCGGACAGGTACTGGGTGTGAGAGTGAAGTGGTAAGCGTCGTCAGTGTATTAAAAATACATACGTTAAGTGTAAAGACGTTAAAAATTGTTACATGTAACAGGTGTGTATTGTGTAAGACACTCAAGTAAAGTGGTAAGCGTCGTTTCAGTGTGTTAGAACACTTATGAATAAGCTTAATAACCTTAATAATGTTTACACTGAAAAAATAAATTGTGTAGGACACATAAGTAAAGTGATAAGCGTCCTAATCCATATGCATGCTAGGCCGTATGTTCACATCATGCAAGTATTGTGTGGTACTTAGAAGTAATTAAAGTGGAGAGTCGTTAGTATATTGAAATAAACAGTTATATCTTCGCAAATTTTCATCCTATATCAAAATGCTCAATGTTTTGGGGGAATGCAATGTGGTAGAGCTGAAAATTGCAATATTTTTTGTAACAGTGATAGCAATTATCCCTATGTTTTATCTTGAAACATTTGTCTAGGAACGCTTAACATGCTCTTTCCAGAATACAGTGAACAGAACTGGAATAAAAATATGAAATACAAACAAAACACAGAGAAAATGTTATGTTGCTTAGTGTGTTATGTAGACCGAAAAATGTTAGCTTCAACTTGAGTGTTTTCAACTGACGTCATTTTCAACTTGAGTGTTTTCAACTGACGTACGTTTTCAATGTTGATATGCCAATTGAAAAGAATTATGAAGAAGTTCTTTTGTTGGGTACGCCAATTTGGCTGCTTGCCTCATTACCATGTTGATCTTTTGAGAATGTGTAAAAACGCTCAACAGTTTGTAGTTTCTGTTTTAGTCAAACAAACGTAATTGAAGAAACCGTTTACAGTTCAACGTTGTAAACAAAATTATTACAAATATATTTTCAAGTACAATGATAGTGCTCAAAAAGTCTGAGGGACCAGGGTCAAAACAAAGTTTTTTGCTTTTTGTACATGTAACTATTTTACGGGATTTTTCCGGGTTTGTACTTATTTAGTGCGAAAAATTTGCTTTAGGCTGAAATAAAAATTCGAGTCGTTGTCTCCATGCTCATCAGTGTGAATTCTTTAAAGTTTTGCAACGATATTTTAATTGTTTATTCAATGTAGAGAGCCTTTCGTAAACAAAAACTGTGTTCTTAGCTACCACCTATGTTTTTATGTGACAAAACAAACAAACAGAATATCATTACTTTCTCTTTTAGGAATTCTTATTGTTAAAGTTCATAAGTAGAAATGAATTGTGGGAAATGTGTAAAGGTCTATTCCTTGAGATTTTTGACAAATATGCACCCATTCAGAATAAAAAGATTCGAGGAAAAAATCTTCCGTGGATGACAAAGTACATAAAAGAACTAATGATAAATCAAGACTATTTGAAGCACAAGGCAATAAAAACAAATTTAGAAACAGATTGGCTGTGTTACAAGAAAAGCAGGATTAAAGCAAATATTAAACTAAAATATGCAAAAAAAGAGTACTTCTCTTCAAAGATTGTTGGTCAAAAACAAAACCCTAAACAGGCCTAAAAAACTATTAATAATTTATTGGAAAAACAAAAGAATGAAACAGTTATAAATGAATTGATTATCAACCACAATACTTTTACAACCTCAGAAAGCATAACAGAGGGCCTTAATACATATTTTTCTAATATTGGCCCAAAACTTGCAGAAGAAATAGACAACACTGAAAATTATATAAATACAACTAAATAAGAGTTTGCTGCCTTTCAGCCAACTACTGTCCATAATGTGTACCATCTCATTTGGGGACTTTCTGCAAATAAGGCAACAGGTTGTGATGGAATTTCATGTAAAATTTTAAAACTAGCTGCACCTATCATATCTGAAACATTAACCTATATTTTCAATTAGTGCATAACTTTATCTGACTTCCCAGATGAGTGGAAAACAGAAAGAATTATACCTCTTTACAAAAATGGACGCCATAATTTGCCTGAAAACTATAGACCAATTTCAATTCTTCCAGTTGTCAGCAAAATCATTGAACGTATACTTTACGATCAACCTACAACTACTTTTCTAAATCTGAAATCCTAAGTGATTGTCAATTTGGTTTTAGAAAATCGCATTCAACAGCAACTGCTTTAATTGACTGTACGAATGATTGGTAGACAAACATGGACAAAAGGTTGCTCAACCTTGTAGAACAAATTGATCTAAAAAAGGCTTTTGATACTGTTGACCAAAAAATTTTATTAAGAAAACTTGAGTTGTATGGAATTAAAGGACAAGCCTACGACCTGATTGAATACTATCTGTCAAAGATGCGAAATCAAAACTTTTATTTCATCCCCACAACTCCTTACCTGTTGAGTTCCCCAGGGCTCTATTCTAGGTCCGTTATTTTTCTTAATATACATAAATGACTTATCTTCATGCTTAGAGCAATGTAAACCAAAAATGTTTGCTGATGATACTAGCATAACTGCTTCAAATAATGATATAGTTGAACTAAGTTTTTCATTTTCTTTCTTTTACAATAAATTTTCTTTATCATTTCTATTATAAGACGCAGTAGAATACGCCCACGTCCTATATAATAACATGCTACGGGTAACTGTACTATAGTGATCATATTTATCTTGACATCATGTCACATTCCTTACACATTTATAATCCATATGTAGTTATAAAGGAGGAAAAAGGGGAACGCACTGTTATGCACAAAAAATAAAACAGTGTATGGATAAGATGTCAAGCTATGTGGTATAAACTAAGGAATTATACGTATTTTTTTCATGTTCAAGCAAAACGCAAATAAACACCATATCATGAGGCGGTTAAATAGAAGATACATTTGTCTACAATAAATGTCCATATACGTACTATACTCGAACCTAATCTATTTTCATTGTTTGAACACGACCTTTCTTGCAGGTTTCCGGTTGGAGGTTAAGCACGACGTCATTAATGTTATGCTTGCACGTTGACATGGCGATACCTAGCTGTGCCAGATAATATGTTGTCATGACGATGCTACGTCGATAGATGATTGGTGCATAAAACTTATCAAGTGCAATCATGGTATCGGAGAAGACAAAAAGCAGGGCACCACCACAAGCACACATGTTGTTCCATTTCCACAGTTTGTCCACTTGAAGTCGCGTCACTGCCCTCCAACACATCATAAAAATGAGAAAAGTATAAATGCCAACACAAATTAACATGACACCTTTCAGTTGAGGATATAAGACTGAAAATACCAATAAACCATAAACTGAGCAGACCACGCCCGTTTTAAGGCGGAAGGGTCGCATTTCAAATGCTATGGTGTAGAGGATATGAGCAACAGCAAAGGCTAACATGGAATGAATGAACAGACGTGGTTTCCACACCATCAAAGCATCACCCAGACACGAGAACATCATACCTAGAAGCACGTGACGATTGTAACGGTGTTCGGGACGCATACTCACACCTTGCACTCCAATGAAAAAACAAAGGCAGATGACTGGTAGACATTTTAGAAGTGCGTTCAAAACTGATGGTTGGTGCAATCCTGCCACAAAATACACACAAACTGTTTTGGCAAACGGAACCAGCTTTGGCCCAATACTTTTAAACTAAAAAATTCAATAAATGAATATCGCACGATTTTTATCTCTTGGTTAAAATTTTATCTATAGAGAAAGTAAATCAACAGGAAGGGCGAAAAGAAAGAACCCACTAAGGTTAGAAGGGTGATTTTTTAACCACATTTTCTACAACAGCTCTACAGCATAAGTAAAACTTAAAATTAATTGTACATTACAGCGCTCAGTGTGGAATATATGACATTTCTCAGAAAGAGGAAAGGAATGGGGGGAGAAAGAGTAAGGAACGTGGGAAGAACGGGGAGAAACATCGGAGAAACGGGGGAGGAAAGGTGGGGAGGAAGGGGAGAGAAGGAGGGGGAGGTAGTTGCCCACAAACATTTTTCAAAATAGAATATATCTTGAGTTTTTTTTCATTGACATTTTTGAACAAGTTATGTGAATAAAGTTATTTAAAAAACCTATCCTTGGAGCAAATTTTTGAGCGACTTCATTCAATTATTTTTGATATTTGCCCGCTCCAATCCCAAATATTTTAGTGTCTGCCCTTGATACGCAACAAACTTTGAATGTAAAAGTGATTAGCGATCAAACATTCCATATAAAATTATGACCATATGATAGGTAAAGTGACCAAAACAATCAGTGTAAAACAATGGCTAAATAAAGGGCATAATAAAGTCAGTGACAGACATTTGACAAAAAGTTAAGAGGGTGATCAGTAAAATGATTCAAGTGATGATTTGTAAATTTTGAACAGGAGGCCTCAAAGGATAAATATTTAAATAAATCAAGTTTAAATGACGAGGCGAAACAACTGCCACACCTCACCACACCTCACCACACCTCATCACTGGCAACATTGGATAAACATAAAAATTATAATGATGGCCAAGACACGAGTACATAGTTATCATACATTTTGTGTTTATGACCAACCAATAAATGCAATAAAATATCAAAGTGAATCAGTTTGAAATATTGATGAAAAGCCTGTCTCCTGTAGATTTGATATATCAATCTATTTATACCCTTAATGCTTTAGGGGATCTAATTAATTTACAAGTAGTCAATCCATCATCCTCTTCAGGACATTTAAGCAAATCTGTAAAAATCCTAAAATCCAGCTGCTTCACTCATGGTTTTTGATGTGTTATACTTGAGTTACTTCATCACAACCACTATGAAAACTGTCATATACCTTTTCGTACAGGCTGCAAAGAAATGTTCTTAGTTGTTCAATTTATGGTAAAAAAATATTTACTAAGAGAAGACAACCACCACATGACTGCAAATACTAGTTCATGAGAAGATGCAAAATTATAAATACTAAAATCATAAGTTTCAATTAGTTTTCATAACTTTCTTCATGGAAATCCTATAAATCCAAGTTTTTTCTTTCAATGATATAAAAATTCAAAAAAACCTAATTTGCTGTACAATGAGAAATGTTTAAACAAAGAAAAATCATAGCATGAAGTGTCAATGAAAACAAGTTATTTCTTTAATGCAGTCAAGCACAAAAATTATGGTATCTTTCGCCAAATCTTTCATTAGTTGATATTTAATTGTTTCCACAGAAAAACTTGTTAAAAGTATGGTTTGTTCTTACAACTTTAATGATCAAGATTATTGGATGGCAGACTATCTTCATACTTCGTACTTGGCAAAATGTTTAACTTTAATGTATTGGTAAAATATATAAATAAATCTTTTAACCATGTATTAGCAAATTTAACTACGAGAACAATCTCGTTAGCCGAGCATAGAAGCCAGAAGGCAAGTATTGTCAATATCTTACCACATCAACAGGATTTACCAAGATTCTCATGTATTTTCGTTCATTGTTAGATGTTGTCGAGTCATCCTCTTTAGCATAAAATTGCAAGGAAGTTTCGTCGTTAGTTTCTGATAAATAAGACCTTTGCTTCGCCATTTGAAACCAGGGAAACTTGAGAATTAGACAATATTTAACTTTTCTCGTCTTGTTGTTTACGTCGAAATTAATTTTATGTTTTGGAATGGCGTAATGGAAATTACATCATTTAAATGACGTTGTTATGAACACGCCTACTATTTACCCCTTTTCTTATACACGCGCGTTGTACACGCAAAAAAATTTAGAACATAATTGATAACTTATGGCTTACGTTGTCTCTTGTCTGTATTCTGCAGGTACCTAACCAAATTTCTCCAAGTTCGAAATATTAATCTATTTGCTATGAGAGAAATCTTTATAAAGTAAATGGTTTGAGCCCGGGAGTATCGTTACATATTTGTGGATGTAGATTGTTATCGTCCAGGTTAGAAGAGTCCTGAGGCCTTTTGACTCATGAAGATGACTACCACTAAGGTTGTCGAAACGTCAGTCAACACCAACAACAACAGTCCTTCTCCGGACTCTACTAACCTGGACGATGTACATCCACAAACATGTAGAGAAATCTTCATTGTATAAAGTGGGAATGAATAAACATATGAGCAATATATTTAGTTTGGTTTTTGATTATTTTAAGTAAACGCATGTTTTCAGGGATATTATGTCCCGCAAACCTAGGTAGGTTTAATAATATTTTTTTACGAAACTTCCTGAGGCTTGGGGGAGCATTTGATCACTAATATTCCTTAAAGCATGCGTAATAACATGGTTGTAGAGGGATTAATCAACGCATTGGACTTTTTGTTTGACAATAATTTTATCAAATTTTGAGTTCTCTGATATGAAAATTGACAACCATGGGTGGTGTTTAAAGCGTATATATTGTTCATGATCAGCAATGGAATAAAAAAATTCATCAATTATGATTGATGATTCAGTTTTTGAATTTGTTTAGACGAACATGTGCATGAATTTACTTTGCAAGTACGTATGCAGCTAATTGTCGATGTTTTTGATTGCTGATCACCGGTTTTTGCATGTTTGCATGACTATAGGAAGTTGCCGACGCGAGGAAAAACGTTTTCTTTTTTACTGCAGTAAATGATCAAAGGATTGTAAATCATAACGAGTTCGTTGATTTTGAACAAAAGGACGTAAGATTTACTTGAATCTCAAGTATTGACGATAAAACAGCTGAACATGAGAGGTCTTTTGACTTGGTAAACTTGCCTCCAATTAGTGTGGTCAATCGACTTGCTGATGGCGTCACTGCTTATAACCTTCCATTCGCCAGAGTTGAAAATGATTCAAGATGCAAGCTGAAGCAATTTCTACATGACGAAAATAAAATGTGGAAACAGGCGTACTCTTTTAATATCGATCAGAGATATTTAATCTTAACGTCTCTCATGAATGTATTGATGAGGGATACTCAGAACAAACTATCCCTCATCCCTGTGACTGAGGGAAATACGTCAGTAAACGTACATATGATAACGAAAGATCGGAGACAACCATGCGTGTTATTATTTACGTGATGTTTCATTAGAACTTTTTAACAACAAAAAGACACACCTTTGCCTTTGAAATAGAAACAACTTCTGAATGTAGAAGACTTCTCGAGACTACAAAATGTATATCGATAGAAGACGACGGGAATGGCTTCAAAATAAAGTCGAAAATTTACGTCTTTTAATTATCGACACATATTATGTAGTCACAAGATGTCCTGTGTATTCGCAATTTGTTTTTACTTTACTTCTTTAAATTGTCTGCTGGAAAATTCAAACGGCCATTGATTGTAAATTTAAATAATATTAAATATACGAGAATTCGAGCCAGTCATGCTTAAAATTTGAAAAGGCCTATATCAGTTTCGTACACAAGAGTCGCACTCGTGAAGTTGTTGAGTTTTTGTTGTGTTAATTCTGCTGATGAGTCAACCCTCATTTGTGAAATATATCCCGTGGTCAATTGTAGCTACAGTAATATTATAGTTCTCATATTACACTGGATAAACCAACGCACACATCTCTTGCTTAAATGACTAGATTAATGGCGAGCATATACTTCAACGTGGTAAGTTTCTTTTATATTCTTTATTTTGGCGCGTTGTCTTTATCTGTGCACATCGCGATTTTATTCAAGCTATATAAATGTTCAAATATTTGCTACACTTCTGAAAAATGTCATCTGGGAAAGATTTGTTCTTTGTTATAATCCTTGCTATTTTGTCAAAAGAATTTTATCTTTGTGTTATTGTGTCTGTACTGGTATTATTTCGTTTACATTAGGCCTCGTTAACACGAGGTATTTTTTGTTAGCCATACGCCAGCTATTCGGCACATACATTGACTCAAAAGTTTTGCATGGTTTTGTTTACATATTGAATTAATAGGAGTCAAAATTAAAGTTTAAGATGAGGTGATAATGGTGTCATTAGTTTAAATCAGTTTAAGTAGCACTTGGTTCTTGTTTGTCGCAAGCAAGTGCTAATGTGACAGGTTCTCACGTTGAGTCCTCATGGATAAAATATATTGCATTTGTATTGATTTTTTATATATACGCAAGTCTTTGAAGCCTTAACAACATGTACAAAATGATAGGTATTTGCTTGAGAAAACAAAAATGGCTGGTACACACTGAAATATTGTATAGTCATTTTAACTAGACGACATTTTAGAAACTTTTAGTTGCGTACAAGTTTCGTGCACAATATAAGCCATCTTCAGTGGAAATGAAAACATTTACATGTTGGCAAAAATACAGCTTTACAATACAAGTGTGGTAAATCCTCAGTGAATAGATTAATAATTTACAAATTAATTATTTACGGTTAAGTCAAATACAATTACAAGTTTCAAAAATATTGTCGTCTATTTATAATTTCTAATTTGTCTATTGTTTATTGTGCTGATAAGGTCATATGGAAAAAAAATTGAATGATAATGTCGGTATAATAAAGAGAAAAGATATACATGAATGATGAATCAATTTATCTTTCATGAAATATAAAATAATGTACATCTTATGTTGATTTATCAATCTTTATGGACTCCTCTTATTGAGCTTTAAGATTTACTGTGTAGCTGCAAATGTTATGGGGGGCTGCAAGCACTAATCATAATTACATATAGGTTTTTAGGTTTTGAAAACAGGCAATCGTCCATCTACAGATTACTAAATTTTTTACTTCTTGTTGGTGAAACACACAAGCTACACGGACTCATATGTATTGTTATATTTTATCTCAGCAGGTGCTGTACACTTTGATACAATTTGTAGAAAGAGCTGCCACTGTTCCTTTATGCTCAACTCAACAATACGCGCACAATGGTAGCTGCTGTGACCTGTGTGGCCCAGGATCCTATGTTGTAAAGCATTGTAATAAAACATCATCAACAGTCTGTAGTCTTTGTGAGGTAAGAAATTTGAAACTTATGTTTTAGTAACTTTACATTGCATGTTGTAGAGCATTGTAATAAAACATCATCAACAGTATGTAGTCTTTGTGAGGTAAGAACTTTGAAACTTATGTTTTAGTAACTTTACATTGCATGTTGTAGAGCATTGTAATAAAACATCATCAACAGTATGTAGTCTTTGTGAGGTAACAAATTTGAAAGTTATGTATCAGAAACTTTACATTGCATATTGTAGAGCATTGTAATATAAAAAGTGAGTGCATGTGTACGATTTGTGAAATGAAGAAAAACTTCACATTACACATTTTCTGTAACAATGCCATGAAGCTCTGTACAACTCTCTTTGATGTAGTTTTTGTGAGGTAATTGAAACTTCAAAAAACTAAACTCATAGATGTAAATACTTCTGCTGAGTCTTTCTCGTGGACGGGTAAAGAGTCACTAGTCGCGGGAATAGTGTAGAAAATAGAAAATCGCGAGTATAAGTTGCGGGCTTAGTTGTCTGCTGGACGCTGCTGCAAATCTGCACAACAATTTGAAAACAAAAGTAAACTCTATGTAAGATAAAATGGCATGATAGAGGGTCAAACTATGTTTTATATCCAAACGAGTTTGAATGAAGCTATGCCAAGCTCACTAGAAGTCTTTATGTCTGAGTATGCACACTTGAATTTTTTTGTTGGAGTCAACATCGGGCCAGAATATATTACCTGTTTTGTCAACACTGAAATATGTCAGTATAATTGGGAAAATCACGAGTTTTTATTAATGTAGCTACAAATTATGCCGTATGCATTATAAGTAACATGTATTGGAATTCATAGCAATTAATTCACTATTGGAAACATGCAAAGCTCTTCAGTAATACCAAGAGTCAACCACTGAACAATTACTCAAATGTCCAACTGAATATTTTGTTAAATTAAATGAAGATATGATCTTCGCACTTTTGAATATTTTGTTGATGAATATATTTGACAATCACAACTCACGATGTATTATTAGTTCAGAAAAGCATCCTCGGTTGAAAAAGTTCTCTTGCATTTGAAAATAAAACACTTGGTTGCTAGGAAAAGCCACTCTCCAATCATGGGAAAGTTTGTAAATTATCACATAAACTACAGTATATCCAAGCGAATTTTGAATTGCTGATGCTTGGTATTACTTAATGACATGTTTTTAATAATAAAATGTTTCAATTAAATGCAATATATTTATTTGTGATTCATATGCCCTGTTTACATGAGACCGGAACGAAGTCAAACCGGAATGAAAATCAGAATTTGTTGCATGTTTACATGGGACCGGCACGAAATCACGAAAAATCCTCATTCGCGTAACGCCTCGTTTGCAGGCTGATTTTAGGCTTGCTAGCCATTTTGTTTTTGTAATTTGGTTTTGTGCGCATGCGTTGTTGCCATTTCAGACCGGTCTGAACTTTAATTTGAATTTACATTGATGCCGGTTTCAATTCATACCGTTCTGAACTAAATGGGATTGGTTCAGCTGGCGGTACGACTTCAGGCCGCTTTGAGTGATTTTTGTTATGAACCCATGTAAACATTTACTATAAATAATATTATGACCGACACGAGCTAGTAGCGGTTTGACTTTGTTCCGGTCTCATGTAAACAGGGCCTTAAAGCAAACACACATTACGTAGTGTCTAGGAAAAGGAGTGTGTTTATGCATAGCATTTCATCAAGCCTTAAAGGCTTCTTAAAGGGGAACTGCACTCAAAAATAAATTGGCTCATATGAAAGATATACGTTTATTTTGTTATTTGGTAAAATATTTCTGCTCAATTGCTAAAAATAAAAGAGAAATGGCTAACTAAAGTTTTAATTTTTGTGCAATTTGACACAACAATGATGCATAACTAATTTAATTTGTGACGACATTGCGTTATTCGAACGAGCAATTCGATTGTTTTTAATAAGAAATCTAAGCAAAGGCAAAGATGAGCAAAAATACTTAAATTTTTTTTCGAAGAATGTTCATCCAGCTGTTTTGATGAGAGTCTCAATCAGGTTATCGATAATAGTATTCAGCAGACAGTTTAAAATTGTAAATACTATTGCGCATCTTTGCTTTGAATTTTGATAATCAGTTAATAAAAAACTATCGAATTGGCCGTTCGACTAACTCAATGACGTCATAAATTAAATCAAATATGCATCACTAATAACTACAAATAGTAATATCTTTTATATGAGCCAATGTTGATTTTTAAGTGAAGTTTCCCTTTAAAAGTGTTTGCATGAATAGTCTTCTTACGAAATAGAGTATTATCAATTTTATTAAACTTGCATCTTCACCCGTGGCCGTGACAATCCAACAGACTGATCGTAGATTCCATGTGAGCACTTGTAAAAATTCAATTTACCATGTAATAATGAATAACAACGTCCGAAAAGTTTTCTTGTAGTACAATGCAGTAATGTCCTATCTCGTCTATTTTAATAATGTAGCACTAATTTTGTTGAGCGAGGAATGATCACACCACCGCTCAAAATGTGGGTCAAGTGTTTTTTCAAACCTGGGGAACCCATTTCAATCCATGCGAAAATTATTGACACTTGGACGAAAACGTGTTGAAATTTTTTTGGCTTATATAACTGGAAATAGCCATTTTCATTTTGTGGAAGGCTGTAGTGCTTGATTTCGCAGACTTATGCAGTATTTATCATGTTTTATAGAACAGCTTTGCGATAAGTATGTAGGTGCTTTCGATCATCACGAAAGATACAACAATATTTTTTGATAAATATGCAAAGGACTTTTGCTCCTTATTTTATTACGAGATTTTGAATCGAATGCAGTCATTCAATGACATAGCGGAGAACAATTTAAGATAAAACATGCAAATTCAAGCAATAATCCTTGTCAAACGATTTCATCATAATATGGATAGTTAAAATTCAAATCAAGTATAAGGCTATTGAAATGAAGATTTTTTATTTTTCAGGATGGCACGTTTTCCCCTCAAAAATCATCGCTAACATCTTGCATAGAATGCAAAAAATGTGCCCCGACAATGGTACAAACGGGGCGTTGTAATAGTACTGCGGATACCAAATGCGAATGTACGAAAGACCACTACATTGATTTTTCCACTGGTTCATGTAGGGCATGTAAGGTTTGCCCTCAAGGATCTTATGCAATCACTCCATGTACACCGAAGACCATATGTGCAACTTGTAAATCGGTAAGATTTGATTGAGTACTAAATGAACACAGCATCCGATAAAGTTGGCAAACAGACGAATGCAACGGCGTTTTATTTTTGGAAAGCAGGATGAGAAAGTTTTATTGTTGTTATCCCAGGAATAAAATTTTACTCTTGAAATTTAATTTTTAAAATTGCAACATCCTTTATATGAAACACAATTTTTCCTTTTGTTGTGGGAATGCAACGTTATATAAAAATATGTCATTTACTGACTATAAAGTTTCACGAGCTACCTAAATTAATATTTCAGCGTGGCAACTGTGGAAATTTCTATTTATGCTTTGTAGTAGACCAAACTAGTTGTCATATGAAACATTAGCTCATTTATAGTGTTCCATTGCTAATTAATAAAAAAATTTACAAAGAGTAGCATGAGAAGTCACAGACTGTATATAAAATTCTTGTTTAGTCTGCGTAAATATATATATGCATACGTAGTGGGTGGTTTCTCTATATCTATTTTGTTTTTCATTTCTGATACAATAAACCATAAAGGCGGACTTTCGTGGGCATAAAAAGAGAAATCAGCATTTTCCAAGATTGCGTTGGGGGTTAGGCCGCAACCATGTAGTTATAATGTAGTTATGTACTAAAAACGTGTTTTGAATGTTGATTTTATTTCAGAATCACTTTTTAAGTAATGGTCAATGTACAAAATGCTCAGTCTGCAAAGTGTATAAATTGGCATGTGAATCATCTCATGATGCCGTTTGTGGAAACACTTTGGCTTTTGAAGAGTTTGAAACTAAAACATGGACTGAACAGATCCCTGTAAAAAAAGGTATTTAGAGTTGGATATTCTTGTGGACTCTGTAATATAATACTGATATGACTAAAAACCAATAATTTACCGTTAAATATCCCAAAACTTTCTGATGTTTTCCTGTCTGATGATTATTTAAGTATGAGCCCTCCCTTTGTTTGGTCAGCGTAGCTGTTTTAGGGTTTGTGTCACTACATACTGATTCTAGAAAAAGGAAAAAATCATCTGCATAAGTGTGGAAAAATTTATACAATGGTCACAAGTATATCTTTGTTTTGTGTTTCTTCTTAGGTTTAGGCGATGCGAAAGATGACAGCTCAAGTGTTCAAAGTCATGTCAAATATATAATCATCACGGGTATTATTGTTATTGTATCAATACCATTTCTTTTATTTCTTCTCTGGTGGAGGAGGAAGAAAGTGTCATGCCATGATAAATATTCATTCAAAACAATTGAACGGCAATGCTCAATCAATGATGTTACGTTTAATTTTGGAGGTAAGTATAGGAGCTGGTCGGAGACGAGACGACAAGAGCTCTTTGTGAGCCCCTTGTCATTATGGACTCAAAAACGACCTAGAATTTAATCTATTAGATATCCGACTCCGCCAAAATTCTTTAGCTACGAGTGAGGCAATCTTGAAAGGTAGCAAACTGACGATATTTACGATTAATATCTGCTTTTCCTGAGTTGATACACAGCTACAAAGTTGATAGTCTGGATTTAGTTTTTAAAATGTTTGATAAGATTGAGTTTTTAAACCATCTTTCAGCATATTTTTTATTATAAATTTTGATTCAAAGATTGCATCCTTGTCTCACCTTGATATCTAGAGCCAGTGGCGGATTCAAGGTACCTCAAAATAAATGAAAGCTAAATTAATTTAAATTGAAATTACATTCAGAAAAACACTATTGGTTTTGGATTCCTGAAGAATATGATTTTGCCAATGAATTTGCCTCTAAGGTGTTTAGAAATGTAAATATACGCTAAAATCTGCTGCAGTAATTTATTTTGAGGTACTCTAAATCCGCCACTGTCTAGAGGAATGGGTTCTAAATCATTCGGACTCAAACACAAAAAAAAACAACTTAAAAGTAAAAGAAAAGACTCTCAACAGTTTAAAGAGATAAACATACGTAGGCCTAAATACTTAAAAGTTATGTCAAGTTCTTTTGTTGGAATCCTGCAATCGGGTCCCTAAAACTCCTATACGTAAAACGTTTTCGTTCACGCTTAATGTAAATTTATTTCCAGTTTGAGAAGATGTCAACTGTTGAATTTACTTTTACGTTAACTCGTATATTTACGTTTAATCTTACGTGAATATTTATCGGAGATGTTTGTGAGAACTTTTGAGCATGTGCAACCTCGGTCTTGGGCTTGCACTGATCTACTCTCGAATTCTCCCAAAGGTCTCCTCGGTTTTCATAAGCCTGTGCAAACACACTAAACATCTTTTATTTCTTTAATAAATATTTTCTCCACTGTACACCAATAACTGTAGTGTATACACTTTATTTGTAACAGATATGCTGTTCCGTGACGTTTCGGGGGAGGTTATCTTGAAGCTTGAATCTCTCCTCAACCCAGGCTCGATAAACAACTGGAAGAGGCTTGGGGTCGAACTGCAACTATCTCAGACCTTACTTAAAAATTTTAATTCGACTTCAGAAATGCTGAGTCACTGGCAGACCTCAAATGATGCAACAACGCAAAAGTTGTATGCAGCCCTTAAACATATAGGCCGCGACGATGCATGCAAATATCTGGAGGAAAATGCTACAAGTTCATGTCGTGAGACAAATGTTCAAATTTGAGATCATTTTTCTGGATACGGTTGCACGAAGGCCACATGGCGTCATCCAATTTTTAACGCTTCAAAAATGTCTTAAAATTGAAAAATCAACGATTTGAGCTGGACTATCAATGTAATAATATATTGGTACAAGAATTGAAATGTTTTATTATCGTATGGAAACTATAACTAACTTTTTTCACAAGTTTGAAAAATTTTCTATGCAATTGATAACGCTATCCAAGCTTCGTGCAACCGGCCATTGTTCTGTATATGCCCGTATGTGGACCGTTTGAACTTAAACCTTACTAAAACCCATGGTTTTAAAATATCGTAGAACATGTACTGTTTGCTAAGCACTACAAGTCATTCCTGCACTAATTCTCAATTTAGGCCAAATTAGTTGTTTTAATTCTACTGTTACTGTAGTTGTAATTAGGGATCGTTCAATATAAATACGTATATCGTCGTCCCTTACTAATATTTCCTTATCTGTCAAACAGAGGTATAATACTACTGTGTAGCGTATTCCATATAAAAAATTAATCCCTACTTTTCAGCATCATTTTTTGAATAAACCTATTAGGAGAGAAGTTTTAACACCCAGTTGAAATAATTATCAGGAAAGTTGCAGTCTAATGCGTATCACGAGCTCTTGTTTTTCAAGTTTGAAAAGGTATTGAAAACGATTGTTTTTGATCGCTTTTTTTAGTCGCTTTTTTCAGCCGCTTTCTTTAATGTTTTTCATACCATTTTTTCATTTTCGTCCGTGAAAGTAACACCCTCTATTATTCTGAGAACTTGTGACACTTATGAGCCTGCAATCATACCGTTAAAGTTCCTTTGGAATAAACTGTTTCCGAGGATTATAAAAAGCACATATGAAATAAACACATCCCCAACTCCAACTATCGATCTTTCTACAATTGTGTCACTATAGTACACACGTAATAACTAGTTATACGGTAAAACGTGCGTTCATTTAGCTTAGAGCTGATGTTTCTCCACTTCTCAATCACTCATGTACGTGTATGAGTATTTTATGATAACAATTAACTTGTGTTATTGCTGGTGAATGAGTTCGTTATCGTACACGCATGCTTTAAGCTCAACGCACAAGTGCTTTTTTGGGAACAATTACAAAAAAAAAGTTAATTCACCATCTTAATAGAACCGACCCTCACTCGCAGCACGAGTCATCTTGATAAAGAGGAAACGTCAAACGCAGTTGAATGTTTGAGTCGCACTGCAAATATGAACTAAAACATTAAGAGTAGCTATGGATATGATGCTGCTACTCCTCTCTCTCCTCGTACATTGTTCACACTGGGGAGCTGTTGTGTTCTAGTTGTAACAGTGGCGTTGCCAGTGCGCAAGTTTAGCGTGCTATGTTAATTTTTCCGTGTTCACTCACTGTAAAAACAACATGCAGATTTTTAAAGTAATGAATGATGTTATAATGATCTAAAATTTACATAGCAGAACCAAAACTTCTGGGTTTGCTACGCCACTGAGTTATAACAATACTACTTGCAGGGAAAAGGAATGAGATGATCAGTTTAGGACATGAATATGCTTGAATTGCAAGTTTTTATCTTCAGGGTATTCGTGAAAGACTGATGAGACAACATAAACTATTAATCTGAGGTTATAGTAACCTACACAATAGTAACCTACATCCGTGCATGATTATAACGAGGTCAAGTTTAATGCTAACTCATTTTTTAAAAAAGTTAGGCAGATTACATATTTGCACCATCTGCTTTTTTCAAACCTTTCAGCTTTTTTCGTCCTGTTCTTTCTGTTGTCATACATATTCAGCACAAACGGTGATTACCTCCGCCAAAGAATCTTATCAACTAAATAAAGCAAGCAACTCTGATAGGCATGCATTAGTGCCAAACTAACTTTGACATAAAAACGCTTTAAATAACATGATGTCTTCCATATAAAACAATATGTAAAGAGGAAATTTTCATTAAAAAGGCACTAAAACAAAGATTTTTTTGTTGTGCCATTTTTGCAATACTCGAGTGCTGCTTTATGTAAGTTTTTTCTGTAATAAGAACCTTTCCTATGGACTGTATTTTATTACAGATATGTAAATATGACATGTAAATGACATATAGATGACATGTAAATGTTGTATTGCAATTTGCAAAGTCCCAGGGCTGTCTTATCGAAAGATTCAAGACGTTTGTTAAGAGCATCTGATCGGGTGTAGATAAAAAGCGGGCGCGGACGACGGACGCGGACGGCGGACGCAGATGTAAGACGAACGTCTGTTTGTTGTGGGCGGGAATTGCAAATGATTTATTGTAGGAGTTTGACAGTAATTTAAACGAGCTTTAACTTTCAGGATATATTTTTTGACCTCATTATTTAAAGCAATTAAACATGCATATTTCAATTTCAGTCAGTCATATAGAGTGTAACGCAATGAAACCTCATTGTATTTTTTCGTGTTTTGTCAATGGCATTTCACTCATGTTGGCCTTACGTGGGTGAGCCTGTTCATATTTACTGCACTATAATGATTTCCGTCAACTTGTCATTTGGCAAGCAGTACGTATATTACAGTTTTCAACTCTAACTTCCTTTTGAAAGCTGAGGTTAGAAGCAGTTGCAAGTTAGTCAGTGCGTCAGTTACAGTCATGTTTGCTGTAGCTATATGACAACTTTTGATGAATATTAGCCAAACGCATTCAAAAAGCGTTATGATATTTTCCGTCGTAATTTCCGTATAACTTAGAGTCAAATTTAAAATTCTGTTTCACTGCATTCTTTCAGTCATAGCAATAGAAATATCGTCGCTAGGTTAGTTTTCCGTTAATATTTCTAAAGAGCTATATACAAGTTCTTTGTTTATTTGCTTGAATCTTTCTTTTTGCAATGCGTGAGAAACTATGACGCTAGTGATTCATCTATAAAAGAAGGATTGACTCATGTTTTTCAATATAACTACCGTTCGTATCTAAGGATGCAAGTAATTATTTCTATCACATAGAATTACCTCAGTGACTTAAAGTTAAAACGAATTGTGTTAAAGAAACATGGACCAGCAGAGAAGTGGGACCTCAACAAATATTCTTATCTTATCTTTAAAAAGGAAATTACCTGTAGGACAAAATTTGGATAAGTGCATGCAAAGCTTTTGCTTACTTATGGTTTCAATTAATACATATTTTCTTTATCGTATGATTTGAGTAATATAAGATTGACTTTTTTTAAAATTGGAAAAGCAAGGCTCACCCACGTAGGGCAAACATTGAGTGAAATGCCATTGACAAAACACGAAAAAAATACAATGAGGTTTCATTGCGTTACACTCTATATGACTGACTGAAATTGAAATATGCATGTTTAATTGCTTTAAATAATGAGGTCAAAAAATATATCCTGAAAGTTAAAGCTCGTTTAAATTACTGTCAAACTCCTACAATAAATCATTTGCAATTCCCGCCCACAACAAACAGACGTTCGTCTTACATCTGCGTCCGTCGTCTGCGTCCGCCGTCCGCGTCCGTCGTCCGCGTCCGCCGTCCGCGCCCGCTTTTTATCTACACCCCATCTGATCTGTGATCTGTTTTTCTTTTTTTAATGGGTTTTTATCAGGAAAGATTATTTTTTTACTTGATTAAGTTTGTAAACTGATATTGCTTTCAGATCACGTTGTTGCATAGGTTACACTTTATAAATATAAAATATTTGGAGTATAAGACAAGAAAACCGTACCATTTATAAGTACAATGTAGTATACGAGAAGAGCTGAAATGAACAAGTGGGTTTCTTCCACAGTGCATTCGTTCTTTTTGCTTTTAAATCATCTTACATCGTTTGTTGCAACACGATCAAGTCACTTGCTGAAGCAAAAAAGAAATCTTACAAAGTAGTGTGTGGGAAAAATAATAATCTTCCTCAAGGATTCTGTCTTGATTTCAAGGATGAAGCCAGTGCGTTGATGAATTCGTAGCTACGTTGCATTCAGAGGCGTAACTAGAACGTTAATGGGGGCTATATTCATATATTCAGTTGTGCCCTACTGATTTCTTTTGAAATTCAAATTACTTTCACCTTAACCTCATTATAATCAAATTACTTTCAAAAGAAATCAGTAGGGCACAACAGAATATATGAATATGCACCCCGCCCCCACCCCCCCTCAATTAACGTTCTAGTTACGCCACTGGTTGCATTGTGCTCAAATTCAACAAACTGTAAGCCCTCAAAATTTGCAAATTAATTGATTAGCTAAGGTAACCATGTGGACTGAATAATTTACAGAAATAGGTTGAACTCTGACTTAGTTAGCCCGTCTATGCACAGGTTGTCCTAAAATGTTTCCCTGTGCAATTTACTCATCTTTTGCAAGCACTATGCAAACTTTTAAACGTATTTTAAAATAGTCCTATATCCTCCAGAGCCTTTTTTATTGCGTTAGACAATAGTCATGCACATGCATGATGAAAATGTCGACATCTAGATAGGTTTATTGGTGCACTAATTTTTAATAAATTTAACCTTTCGCCTGTTTTTGATTCTTTTCTTTCTGTTGACATGCATGTCTAGCGCAAAAATGGATTACCTCTACCAAAGAATCTTATCAACTAAAAAGAGAATGCCACTAAGCGAAGAGTGCATTACTGGTTACTGCATAATTCACATAAGAAGCGCATTAAATTACATAAATGTCAATCGATTTAAAGAGGTATGTGAAGACAAAATCTCAACTTTAAACCTCAAAGTGAAAAAGGGCCACTATAGTTCTGAATCTTTTTTGTATTTCATTTTTTGCTGTTATCAACTTACAGATCTCTTTAGAAACATTTTGTTAGGGTCCTGTTCTATTCATAGATAAAAAAAGCTGACTAACTTTTAATAGAAGTTATTTTGCATTTCTTTTAAGGATGCATTGCGTGCAAAGGCATTAGCTATCATCGTATCATCGTTTGACGTTGTTAAGTCCCATAGCTATGTTATCGGAAAATTCAAGACATTTTTTTCCCTTTTGTGTAAACATCTTATCTTTTTCTTCCTTGTGGGGAGTGTTGATCAAGAAGTTTGTAAATTAATATTCCTTTCAGACCACTTTGTTTTAGATTACGCGTTATCAAGATAAAAACGCACATATAAAGGAACGTACACCGTAGCAGTCATTAGCCTTTTCGACAAAGTAGTAGCTAAAGATCTGTTCAAAATGAATAAGTTAGTTTTCCTCCTCGGTGTTTTCATACTGTTTGCTTTTGAATCATCTTGCACCATTTGTTGCGACACGTTAAAGGCACTTGCTGAAGAAAAAGAGAAAGCTTACCAAGTTGTGTGTGGGGCAAGTAATAATCTTCAAGGTTGCTGTCATGATTTTAAGAACGAAGTCAATACATTCATGAATTCATACGCTGTATTGTGCTCGAATTCGACAAACTGTAAGTACTCAAAGTTTGCAAGCCTCATTGATTAGCTTAAAAAACCATGTAGACTGAATAATTTACTGAATAGGCTAAACACTAACTTAGTAAGCCAGCCTTTAGTGGAAAATAAAATTTCCCCTAATACAAATTGCTCATCTTTTTTTGAAATCACCTAATTATACATCTCGAAAT